CGGGCGAAGTCGGCAAGCGGACGAGCGGCGGAGTCGAAGGCGGGTCGAAAGTAACAGTTGAAGTCGAAGTCGAAGTCGAGACAAAGGGCGAATCGTGGCGAGTGTTGGCGAGCGTTGGCGTTGGCGTGAGGTACGAGCTCAGATCCGTCGGGTCGGACCAGGACGGATGAAGCAGAGACCAGTTGATGTGCTTGGTGGTCGCAAACTTGTGCTGAGGCGATGACGGTGCAGACTCTGTCAAGCGGATCATCGGGATCGCAAGTATCGGGTCAGAGTCGAAAGGGTCGTCGGTGAACGGATCCGACTCTTCGATGGGAGACATGGGTTCGAAGCCATCGATGGAAGCGAACGAAGTGCTCTCCGGCAGTTGGACATCGAGGAGATCGTCGGACGGTGAGAGCGCGAGAGCCATGAAAGAGGCGGTCGAGTGCGAGTGCGAGATGAGGGCAGGCGGTGTAGAGGGAACCTCGCTAGAGGCAGGCGCGGCGGCGTTCTCGACGATGAGCTCGAGCTCCCGGATCCTAGCCAGAAGAGACGCCTTCGTCTGTTGCTCAGCATCCAACACAATGCGAAGACTGGCGACCTCGGCCCGGGACTCCGTGTCGTTCTTGTTAGCACGCGTGGCGATCTTGTGCAAGTCCTTGTTGTCCTCGAAGAGGTCGGCGTTCTCCTGGGTGAGCTTGGCTTTGGAAGCCTGGAGAGTGGCAACCTCATCCTGAAGGGCACGGATTCGGCCTGACTGAGCGTCCTGACGCGCGGCGTGTGCGGCAAAGGCGGCTGTGACGGATCGTTCGACGTGTTCGCGGGTTGAGTCCGTGCCCAGCTGGACGGCGGTCTTGATCTCGGCGGTGGTCTCGGCAAAGACGGAAGCGGCAGCGTAAAGGGTCTCTTGGGTTGCGAACGCGGCAGACTCGGTGGACTCTTCGAGGTTCTGGATGGACGCGCTGATGGAATGGCCGTGTGCCGAAAGCGACTGGAGCGAGGCGGCGATGGAAGCGAAGGACGCCGCGAGAGAGTTGTGCGATGCCGCGCCCAACTGAAGAATAGACAAGAAGCCATAGATGGTCGCCATAGCCGTGCGCATAGTCTCCGCGTGCTGAGCGCTGCGCTCCTCCAGAGTACGTTCCAGACGCGCGATCTTGCGGCCGCGGATGTTAGCCAGGAACGTCATGAAGAAGCTGTCCTAGTGCTTGATCAGCACCAACACAAGGCGAAGCGTGAGAAAACAATACCGTCTTGTGCTTGACGATCGAGCCACGAAGGAAAGTGTTGGACTCCTCGAGAGAAGTGGCCCGCTCCAGAGTAGATGCGAGCGTGGCGTGAACGCCAGTGTTCTCGCCCTCAAGCGTTGCGATGCGGTGCTGAGCCTCTTCGAGCTGCTCGTCCGAGTCGATCCGTGCCTGCGAGAGGGCGCCGAGGGAGAGCTGGGTGGACGTGAGTTGCTCCTGAGCCGAAGCGCACTGCTCTTGAGACGCGTCGAGTTCCTCTTGCAAGTCGTCGTTCATGCCCGCGAGCGCCGTGTTCTCGACCTGGAGATTGCCAGTCTCGATCTTGTTCTGGGCTTTGAGAGCGCGAAGTTCGCGACCGACGTCTCCGAGTTGTTGCTGAGAACTGTAGAGCTTGAACTCGGCGTTGCCGACCGCGCGCGCAGATGCCGACTCTTGTTGGGCGATGAAGTCCTTGCAACTCTTGTGGAGTTCGCATTGAGCGGAGTCGGGGAGGTAAACGGGAGATGCAAAGCGGCGCTACGGAAGTATTAGAACAGACGACTGAAGAGATGAACTGAATGGACGTACGAAGAAAGACACGGCAATGCTGGTAAGCTTGACCTGCTCCCGCTGTCAGTGGAGAGATCATAGACACAAGCTAGAGAACGCACCAAGTCGACACGCTTGCACCAACCCTTGCCGAGCTCCTTCGCCTGATCAAGATAAAACCAGACGTTGGAACCGGCGGCGACGATTATCTTGACGACAGCGGACACGATCCAGGTGACTGAAGAGCAGGTGATCCAAAAGACGGGGGAGATGACCCAGGAGATCAAGCTAATGACCAGCTTTACAACATAGGCGACGGAGTAGATGCTCAGGTAAGCGATCCAAAGCGTGATGAAGAAGACGACGAGGTTGAAGATCGAGTTGAGGATGAGCCTGAAGACCGAGGAGTCCGTAAGGGCCGGCTTGGAGGCTGCGACCGAGAGCGGCGCGACCAGTAGACCCGGGATGAGAGGCGCAGGAGTGGGTCCGTAGTCGTGTCCGTCAAAGATGAGGGCCGTCTCCGTCCAGTGCTGGGCGGCAAGATGCTTGCGGACCGCCTCAGCGGCCGCCTCGCGTAGAAGCGCCAGTGTCTCGTCATAGCGCCGCTGCTGGGCAACCAAGGGACACAAAAATAAGAGATAATTGCAGATGGAGACGGATGGGAGTCCGCTCTGAAGAGCTATCGCGGCGGGAAGCCACGAGAGAGACATGATGAGGGCTGGGGTAATTCTGCAGATACTCGCTGAGTGGGGCAGGAATTTAGGTGACATTTCCTCACCGCCGTGTCGCCATCCTTATACCACAGCATCTGAGACCATACGATACACATTACGCGTATCGGTAATATGATACAAATAAACGAGCAGCGAGCGGGGTTGGCGGCGGGTTGGAATTGAACGCGAACGCTTCGAATGCATTCCGACGGCCGTTGGCAGCCGATCAACACGCCTCCCGCCCGACTGTCGCGGTCCCTCTGTCAGCGATCTATGGCGGTCTCAGATATAGCATTGGGCACAAGCGACTCGAGATGGCGGCAAGAGGAAAAGCTTGTACACGCCTGTCTTCATGTCACGCTGCCCGCATCAACGTCCCACGCGCTTTCGGAGCCGAACCGCCGGCATGAGACGGTCCGTCGCTACCCGGCGGTACCGATTTCTTATAGGCGCGAGCGGGCTAATCTACTGTTGATCAACGAAGAACGTCATTTGAGAGGATAGGGTGCGCGATACAACATATTCTAGACATGTGAACCGTTCTACGTAAGATATAGTGTGTGCGGGCAATGTCCCAGTGTACGACAAGGAGGCGCCGCCGCGCCTCGCCATTCGTCAGGAACCCCAATCATGCAACGACCAGTGCGATAAGTCCTGACGTCTGCAGAGCGCAGGTGGTAGAGGATCATCAAAGTCGCTAGATCATTTGGCCACTCGCTCCTAAGAAGAGGGTTAGATCTCGATCCACAGAGCAGCAATCTTATCCTCGTACCGCTTTAAGATGCTCAATCTCTGCATCGCGCACTCTAAGCTGCCGTACGAGGTCCACATTGATCCTCTCTTGACGTTCGGCCTGAAACTTAGCGTACGTGTATTCCTACGGCGCTATCAGCTCGACTCTGGCCTGACTTCCCTTGGAGCGCAGAAGATGTGTACCTCATCCAACCGAAGTCGCTCCTAATTAGATGATGAATACATATGCTACAAGGCAAGAAGAGGCCTCGTACCGTTCGTAGGCGCTCAGTTTCTGCGTCGCGCGCTCTAATCGCCTGTACCAGGCCCGCGTTGGTCCTCTCTTGACGTACAGACAGAGTCTTGGCGTCCTCGGATTCCTACGGCGTAGTGAGTTCGAGTCCCACTTCCCGTCAAGAAGATGCACGAAGGCACGTACCTTCCTCAAGGTCCTGTTCACGCGACGAAGGATAGTGTCCGTCTTCTCGGCGGTTTCGAGACCTCCAGCAGCGGAGACAAGCGCTTCGTGGAGCTTCCTGTTGTCGCTCTCGAGATTCTCATTGCCGCCTTTAAGTCTCTCATTCTCACCCTCCAGTTCCGTGTTCCGCGTTTGCGCCTGTACGAGCTTCACATCCGATTTGGCCTTTTCCCGCTTGAGCACATGAAGAGACCCAGACGCCACTCTGAGTGCTCTCTTCGATTGAAGATACATCAGCTTGTAGCCAACATCGTCGTCGTCATCATCGGCATCGAAACCACCTGCAGCGGATCCAGGTCTATCATCGGCGGAAACTTCATTAGATTCGGCGAGATTGGGGTATGGGGAGATAATTTCGATGGAGCGCGATGGCGCGAATCGGACTCGCAACTTGGGAGTGGGGGTAAGTGCGCTGTGATCTTCGGACGGTACAAGCGTGGGGCACTCGCGAGTGGCGATGGAAGGAACTGGTGATTCGAGTTTGGGGAGCTGTGTAGATGGTGTATCGACACCCTGCAGTCAAGGTCAGGCGAGCGCTGCAGGTAATACTCGAAGGGCATACGTGGCAGAGTGTTGATGGGTCAGAAGACGAACACTGAGATCACTATGAGTATCGGGAACGTGAGGCTGAATATATTGACGCACCGGGGCCGGGCCGCAGATGGCGGCAGTCTTGAGCTCCTCAACCTTGGGCTCCTCCGCTTCGGGCGCCTCTTGTACGCCCTGCTCCCACGCACTTGAAACATCCTTTGCGTCGTTGTAGAAGTTGTTGCGCAGAGAGTTGATGCAACGAGCGAGTCCAGCGACGACGGTACAAATGACGAAGATGGCGATAGAGGGAGCGGAAAGGTGACCAAGGCCTCCGGCGATATCGCTCGGGATATCCTGTATCATACCGGGCATATCGACGGAAGTGGTTGCGGTGAGGCTGAAGTATGAAGAATTCCGCGTCGACGTGCCGATATATGAGATAGTGAAGGATGCCAGTCACCGCATGTCACAGTCGAACGGAAGCAGGCCAGAGCTGTCAGGAGATGAATCTTGAAGCTTGTCGTTCTAGCCACGACAGGTGCATTCATCGATCCAGAGTAGCGGGAGAAAGGTGAAGTGACAATTAGACCTGGGGTGAGAAGGGCAGGGAGTGTCCGTAGTCGTGTCCGTCGGGAATGAGTGCTGTCTTCGTCCAGTGCTCGGAAAGATGTTGGTGAACCGCTTCAACGGTCATTGATGGTGATCAGGCAAAGGGCATGGAGGGTATCACGGGTCTTCAAAGTACATTGCTACCAGCTCGCGAAGGATCCGGCTCGACATGAAGGCAGGAAGAAGGGCGTGTACTAGGCGTGTACGCCGTCCGCATCAACGCGCCACGCGCCATCAGAACCGAGCCGCCGGCATGTTACAGTCCAGGGCCGTTTTCCGGCAGTACCAATCTCTTCTTGAGTAGGCACGTAGGGTGGCTCGCTCCTGCACCTCGCTCTCACTTCAAAATGGCGTCACGAGCGAGTAATCTCTACATTGCGTCGTTTACAAAAGTGTCATAAATGGTCATACAAAGCCTGCGAACTCCCAATGCCGCGGCAACTCGAGATACGGGTGCTTTCTCAACTCTGCCGCGCTGGGTCGCTTGTCAGGATCACTATCAAGAGGAGCATCAGCTGACTGTATGTGGGTAAAGGAGGAAGGTACACACATCTGAAAGCATGCCTTGTTGAACTCTTCAGCTGCACCGTCCAACACGAGGCTCTCAGGAAGAGACGGTGGTCGCTTGTCGCGATACAACGTCACTACGACCTCCATCGCTTCGTGACCATACCATGGGCGCTCCCCACCCCACATCTCAACCACGAGACAGCCGAGGGACCAGATGTCAACCTTACAGTTGTATCCGTGTTGCCCTGGGTTGACTACCTCAGGCGCCATCCAGAAGACGGTACCTGCCATGGACATCATGGAATAGCGCTCGTTAGCATCTTCTACGCGTGTGGAGATGCCGAAGTCGCATATTTTGCAGGTGCCCCTGTGATCCACGAGGATATTAGCTCCTTGGATGTCCTGTAAGACTCCGTCAGGCACATAATATAATGACCACGGATATGCCGTAGAGGCTCACTCTATGTATGATGCCCTTAGAATGGATATACTCTAGCCCGTATAAGACTTGTCCGGTAAAGCTTTTCGTAACGCTTTCGTCAAATTTCTCGTACTTTTTAAGGTTACTGCTGATGCTCCCGAACGAGACATACTCCATGAAGAGACTCATGATCGCGAAAGTCTTCTCGAATCCCATATAGTGCACGACATTCGGGTGGTCGAGGTTCTTGAGCGTCTCACACTCGCGCATGAGTGCTTCGAGGGCGTTTGTTCTCTGCTCGTCTCCTCGTTCTGAGACGATGCGCGGAATCTCGACTTGCTTTGCGACAATGATTTCTCCCGAGGGAGCATCCATAGCGAGGTAGACGCGCCCAAAGTTGCCTTTTCCGATTAGCTCGCCGCGTATCCACTTGTGGGCCACTGTACAATGACATATTAGCCAGATTCCTCTTCGCGACGGCGGTATTGACCCATATGGTGCACGCACAATGTTGCACAGAGGCCGGCTCTTCACGCGGCCTCTCCTCGCTACCAGGAGGAAACCAGTCATCCGTACTACCCCAAAGCCTCGTGCTCCTCCTTTCCCGATCTGTGGCCTGAGTAACCGGGCCTTGGACCCTTCTATTCCAAAAGTCCGAGGAGTCGTCCGAATCAGAAGCAGAATCATCGGTATCGATCGAGACATCAAGCGATTGATCCTCACCGCCGTGCTCGGCTAAGACCCGACTCGTGGTGGTAAAGGAGAACTGGGAGCCATTATACTCGACGATGACCCGCAATACGCGAACGAGTTTGAAGTCGACGATGCTTTCTTTCGATTCGTCGCGACTATTCCCGCTAGAAGTAAACGTCGATGTTTGGACTGTGAGGGCCCGTGAAAGTGAAGTCGGATCGGGTACGGCGTCCGTAGGGGCTTCATCCGTTGCGCTGTAAAGGCTGGATGATTGGGTGAGCGTGTAGAGTATTGCACTGTGTAGGGATACATGCCTGAGTTCCTCGGAGGTTTCGGACGTTGGATACGACGTGTATTCAACGGAGACCGTCTCTCGAGTTGTGCTTTCTTGAAAGGACCTCCGGCAGGCCATGCTACAGGCGCATATTCAGAACATAATTGTGACCGAAGTGATGGTGACATGCCAGAATATCCAGTCATCTGAAGGTGTGGTTGGGGTTTGGAACGTCTCCACGTCGCAATAAGGGCACACAAGAGTGTCTGCCTCCTTTCCCTCCCGCCGAATAAGAGCGCCAAGCTGAATCTCAGCACCAACCCGCACAAGTGAGGACCAAGACGACGCCGTCAAGACGGTTGCCGACGTCCCTTCCGTCATCTCGTATGCTCCAATGCGAATGAAGGACCATCCCTTGCGCTGATCCTTCTTGAAGAGAAGATGGAGAAACTCGCGGAAGTCCTGTGCGTGGGTTCGATCAACTGCCCTCAATCATCCATGAATATGAAGGACACTGACTGTCATGGTCCCGCATAGCTCCAATGGTAGAGGCAGATGACTCCCGACGAAGTCAATGAAGATGATGCTGTTCTCCTTCCCATATTGAACGGCGAGGGGGATCGAGGAACGCCGCTGGAAGTGGCCCATCCACAAGCTATAAAGCACGAGAGTAAATATCGCTGACCAAAGAGTGCGAGAGTGCCAGCGCGTGCCAGGGGCGGCAAACTCAGTTTCGACTGTGAAAAGAGCGACCCAAGACACCAATACCGGGAATGCCACGGTCATCCAACGTGGATCTGAGTCCGAGACCTTGTCGGAGGGGAGAGCTTGGTGCACAGACACCTGAGTGGTTATGCGAAGACGGCTGTCTATGTCATCCCGCATGTTGCGCACGCTCTCTGCGATGAATGTTGATGTGGCGAGGGTACCTGCGTCGATCGCACGGAGTACCTCAGACTGCTGCTGGTCGCTATGTGCGACCCAAGTCGTAGACGCGTCCACGACAGCGGCGCGGATGTCAGTGCCGATATCGCTCAGATGATGCACATTGGTCCTCGATAGAACAGCGATGTCGTCGCGGAGAGTCGTCAATTGCGTCTGAGCATTGTCGTGGGTGCTTTCACTACAAGTTCGAAATCAGCGACGCGTCTCTAGAGAGACTGACTGTTACACACATATTATACAAGCTCAGAAGGGTCTGAATACGGACACAACGATTATGAAAGCTTCGATTCCAGTCGTTCATATCAGACGATCTCTGAAAATGCCACTGCAACATCTTGGATCGCCGAGACAGGCGATCGCGTAGCTTATGCAGCCCGGATGCATGGGAGGTTTTGCTGAACAAGAGGGCTTCGAAGCCGGTCGTGCGCTCCGTGGCGCGGTCCAGGTCCACATAACACGCTTGGACTTCGTCTATGATGGCAGCTTGTAGAGAGCCGTCGGCGATATCGCGAATGACACGGTAGGCCTCGTCGAGAACGCTGGCCGTATTGTGAAGTTGCTGCACGAAGGCGCGATAGTCATGCGAGGCGCCGCGAACCTCGTCGAGAGCCTTCGCGATGTCACGTATGAGTTGGGCTACAGCAATGATATCCCCGACTGCGTTACAAGTTATGGGGAACATTGCAAGAACCGGACAAGGACGTGCGATGGAAAGGATGTAAGACAGCAGGTAAATGTTGGCACTGCCGAGGTTGTCAGTCTTAACCATGGACTGGGATTTAGAACATGGAGAACGCACAATCATCAAGAACTAAACCAATATCCTCGGGACGCAACCGAGGGTCGGCGGATGAGCGACGCGACCAAGAGGTGTCGATGAGCTCTGGCACTTGACGGCGAGTTGCGAGTTGGCATAGCGCCGTGCTCATCCTTCGGAGGCTGTGCATGTGCATGATACCGGCGCCTATTCAGCTGTAGTGATTCGGCCGGTACAGTACCAGGCAGCGAGCACATCTGCGCGCTCCGCGTCCGAGCCGACATTTAGGAAGTCCTCCGAAGTTCGCTACTGAATTGCGTGAATGCCTATTAAGCAATGACACCGTTGTTATTTCTCGAAATGGTGGTCGACTGCCAAGAAGCCGCGGCTGGGATGCGGACGGGAAAATCCCAGACGCCCGGCCCGGTATACGGGGACGCTCATTTCACGATTTGCCTCGTGCCTCCACGCGAGTACCGAGTCATTGTACGGTCATCTCTGTCCTCACTCTACGTTCGCCACTTGTATCTGTAACGTAGCAGGTGGCGATGGGGATGCGATTTCATGCCTTTCCGCGCATCAGAGAGAGGCCCACTACTGCTACGAGACAAGGATACGTGCACTATAAGGTAACGGATAGAAGAACATGACTTGCTGTGGCGTGCCATCTCGACCTGTAAAGCCTACAAAGGTCCAGTCCGGTGGCAGTTCAAGAGAGTTCAAGATATGAGTGATCCCTGAGCGCAGCGGCGTCGAGCCGTTCATCTGCATTGCTAGACAGTCGTAGTATCATAGTTTGCCCTGACTGCTGTCCGTAGAGGTAGACCGAAGTACTGCGCGAGTAATGGAATCCCTCAAGAGATAAAATTGGTTTGTAAAGCGCTGCGTTGAAGTGTATTATGATTCAGATGATGCGTGAATGGTACAAGTACAATGCTTTTGAATTTGGTATATACTGTGGCATGTCGTAAAGGTTCGTGAAGGTCATGATAGTTTGAGTCGGAGACGCAAGATATTCAAGTTCAGATACCAAGACCCAAGCTCGACGCCAAGTCGGCGTTGGTGTTGAGGTTGGGGAGGATGTCGGTTGCCACGGAAGGGTCGACGCCGGAGGTAGCCGCGCCCGTTCCGACGGGTAGGGACCCAGCGCCGCCGGCGAGACCACCCAGTCCCAAACGCTCAAGCTGGCGCTTCAGGATGTATGCGTCCTCGTCGCTACCCCCACCGTATCCCTCGCCCTCGGCCCCAAAGATCAAAGCGCCGATCCCACCGGTAAGGTCGTAAAGGTCAGGAGAGCGTGCCTCAACCTCGGAGACGTCGCGCTTAAGGATGTATTCATCTTCGCCGGCCTCTCCGCCATAGCCCTCCACTCCGAAGATCAGCGCACCGATGCCGCCGGTTGTATCGTAGAGATCACGCTGGGAAACTCCGTTGATGGCGCCACCGAGACTGAGGCCAGCCTCAGCGAGCGGGACGGCGTGTTGGAGGCCCATGTTTGAGCCTAAGCGCGAGATGGCGTCGGTGCTGACGGGAACCTGACGCTTGAGAATGTACGTGTCTTCGTCGCCCTCACCAGCATATCCCTCAGGAAAGCCGAACAGGAGCGCGCCGATACCGCCCGTGGTGTCATAGAGGTCGCGCGTGTTCAGGACGGTATCGGTGTCGACGCTGCTTCCAGGGATAGCAACTCCGCCAGTGTGGGTGGCTTGCTGGATGCCCAAGTTGGTGAGCAGACCGCCTCCGACATTGACAGGGCCAATCTGAGCGAGTTGGCGCTTGAGGATGTACTCGTCGGATGCCTCGCCGCCCTCTCCATCGAAGCCGTCGGCACCGAGGAACAGAGCGCCGATACCGCCAGTGAGATCGTATAGGTCGCGCTTGAGGATATAGGTATCCTCGTCACTGTTTCCGCCGTATCCTTCGCCTTCAAGGCCAAGGAGAAGTCCCACGACACCACCGCTGAGGTCGTAGGTGTCCGGCGAACGACTCTCGACGCTGCTGTATGCCACAATCAGTGGATGAAAAGGTGGTTCCAGGAAGTTACTTACGTAGTGGGAGCAGCGTGAGTTGCAACGCCGAGGGCAATGCAAACGAAGGTGTAAAGGCGAGTAGAAGAGAACATGATTGATATGAACGAAAAGTGTTGGAGAAGATCGAGGAAGGTTGAAGGGTAGAAGATGGGATGAGTGGTTGAAAGCTGAATTGGTGAGGTATAGCGGTTCTGTCGCCCCGTACTTATACGCGGGGTCCTCAGATGTTTCGGAGTAGGTACCTCCTCTCTGTACGGGATATCAGTAAGAGCTGACTCGGATGAACCATGGCAACGCAGACTTACCCGAGACCGAGGGAAAAGGGGCCGATACCCCTGTCAGCTCGTACGCCTGGTTCAACTGGCGGATTGAATGCACGAGTATCCATTCGCGGAGACCATCTCATTGAAGAACTTTGCAGTATACTTGATTTGTCAAGGACTGTTATCAAAGGGCTCACTGAGCACGGCGCGCGAACAGACTGTTGTGCGTCGATTCTCATGTGACCGCGTGATTGTGCCGAGGCGGTTTCGGCCTGGGCCGGCGCAGGTCAGGGGCCGCTACTTGTCGCCTGCAGGACCGACACCTTACAGTACAAGCTTACGGCAACGCTGTGTGTAGCTAAAGATGAGCAGTGGATCGCTCAAGAGAGATGTAGGCATCGTTGTGTAATCCGTAGCGAAGTATGTTCTGCAGTGATTGTGTCAGTCTTTTGATTGTCAGTACGAATATTTTGGGCTCTTACACAGCAGTTGGTTCTTAGTGATACACTTGTCTGATTGGCACTGAGCAGATGGCGAAGTAAGCAAGTAAGCTCAAGCTTGTGGGCGCTTGCACACACCATCAATATCGCACGCCTGCTTTCAAGCTCCTCGAACTTTCATGATCGTACATCGTGCAACTTGAAGGACTACGTCTTCGCATCCACTACTCTACGACGAGATCCTGCACGCCGCGAAGAGTGGCCACAGCTCCGTCATGGAGCTCCCGTATGATATCCTGTCATGAATGGTCAGTTTAAGCTGATCAGATCGCGAGCAAATAATGTAGACGCACAGAAGGCTCGCGAGTGCCTGTAACCTCGCCGACGCCCGCACCAGCCCATACCACAGCTTCACCGCGCTCGCCCATCACCTTCCTCAACCCTTCAAGGTCGACTCCTTGCGGGCAAACATCCTGCTCCATCCCCTGCAGCGCGCCCACACCGGAGATAGCCAGTCCTCGTCCATCGACACCCTTCGGCCAACCAGTCGTCCCGCGGAGGAGATCGAAAGCGTACGAGCGAACAGCATCTCGAGAGTTAGCACCAATGATTCGTTCTTTGGCTTCGGGCTTGTATAGACTCGCGGGGCAGGTGAGGAAGAGTGTGCCGTGTACTGTTCCTGCGGCGCCCATGGCGAGTAGAGCGGCAACTTGGTTTGGACGGACGAGACCACCAGCAGCAATGATGGGTGGGCGGCTGGCTGCGGGTACAGCATCGAGTATGGATGAGAGAAGGTTGAGAAGTGGAGGCGCGTATGATGCGCCGTGGCCGCCTGATTCGATACCTGCATATCCGGTACGCTTGTGCGTATTTAGGGCTTATGAGAGAGTGCGCATGAACTGACCTTGTGCAACTATGGCATCCGCTTTCCACTCATTGATAGCAGTGATTGCTTCGGACAAAGAGCTCACGACGACGAACACGAGCGTCTTGTGCTCTCGGTTTGCATCGTACTCTCGGATATGCCGCACCCATTTGCCGATGTCAGAGCCGAAAGAAAGCCAGACGGCTTTGACTTGCTGCTCGAGCGCCAGCTGGAGCATATCACGCGGTCTATCCGGGGTATCCTTCTCGAGTCGGTAACACAGGAATCCGGTGCCGACTGGCAGTGGTCCACTTGGTAGACCAAGGGTCGAGCGTACGGTTGTGAACTCGGACGCCCAGTGGTCGTACGAGCTATAGGCTAGAAATTCCCATTGAGCTTAGCTATACCAGACAATCTAGTAGAGACCATAGCATACTCGGAGAGAAGAATCCGAATCCACCCGCTTGATTGACCTGACTGGCGAGCAGCCCGCCAGAGGCGAAGGCCATCGGCGGTAAGACGATCGGCGAGCGGATGCCTTTATCGTCACAGTCATTACAGAGTTTCGCGACTTAATGTCAAGTGAGCGTACCGAGTAGGCGCGTCAGAGGAGTATTGAATCTGGGCGACATGGTAGTCTGGGGTAGAGCCTTCGAAATCGGAGCGCCGTAGTTTCGTCAAGTCAACATGTGAAAGCGTCATCGTGACCCTTCGGCCGGAGAAGCCCCAGACGAGATCCCACAGACTATATCGCCGACTACATGCTCGGGATATAGGTCAGAACCAGGTGTACGTTGTTCATGCAAAGGGCGGGCATGGAAGTCGAGACCAGAGTGCAACGCGCACGTTATTCGCCAAGGAGAGATAAGAGCAGCTCGCGCGGCTGCGGCATCTTCCGACCAACATGTTGCCCCTGTCCATCTGCAGAATGTTGCGCGTATCTCTGATCCCAGTCTCGACGGCCACGTAGTCGACCCGTTCACTGCTTCGAGCGTGCTCTACGACTGGTCTGACGACAACAATGGGATACCGGACCGGTGCTTTGCTCGCGTCGACGTGCTTTTTCTGTGGTGCGTGGCGCAATCGCTTGACCCTGAGCGCAAGAGTTTGACGCTGTGTACAGGCATTTTATTCGTGTGCTTCAACGTCGACCAGCGCATTTTGTTCTTGGCGAAGACAGAACAGAGGACACAGGATGCCTTTGCGTTCTATGCTCTCTTTTATAATGCCCCCTCTGCGATAAAGGTGCGCCCTACCGTCATACCTCCAAGGCCGAGCTACGTGCTAACCACATACTTTGTACAGGCACTCATGCATGGCATGATGGGAGTGTTGGTCCTCGCAATTATATCCAAGTTGCAGAAGTTGGACGAGAGCGCGCTGTACTTCGACGGAGGCTCGTTAGGTGCGTGCTCATCCTGGACTGTGCTACGCTGGTCTAATCATCATGTATAGCTTGCGCTATCTTCTCCTTCGCGCTGTACACGTCTACGTCCATCCCGGCCCTTCGTACCATCAACGAGCCCGTACCCGACGTGGACACTCCCGAAGACCAGCGCGCAGCCGTCGAACTCCTGGGCGCATCAAACGTCCTCTGCCTCCTGCTTATGGTAGGAATCATCTTCCTTCAAGCAGGTCAAGCATGGGCACAGAACATCGAGAGGAAGGCGATGCTTCAGATTGAAGAGGAGGAGCGACTGGAGAGGGAGAAGGCGTCTGGCAAGGCACCGGAGACGAAGAAGGAAAAGTAGAGTACTGTACTGCGCATAGTATCTATCATTATCTCAGCCGCACGCGTGTTGCGTGAACATAGTACGAGGCCGACTCGGATTTCCTTCAAGAGTAATCGGTGATGACATAGTTTATCAGTATTTGCTCGTAGCGGGTAGTGAGGGGTAGTGCCGTGAACAATCCTCGCGCCGCGAGCGCCGGGCACGCTGTGCGTGTTGAACCTGAGCCACCATCTCCGTGTTGGCATCTCAGATCCCGGAGAACAGTATGAGTACCTGATAACGATCAGTCTATGCTTCACAACAACTTTAAGAGCGATGCTTTGCTGGGCTGGTGCTCTTCCAATGGCGTTTCCATTGATTGCCGCCTTCGTATAGTTTCCGATCCAGCTGGACACGTCTGCGTCCTGTTGCGCAGGTCCTGCAGCTTCAGTACCGGAGAGTCGGGTAACGTTTTGATGATGACCTTGTTCTGCTTCTGGTAGCTGATGCGGTCCTTGTTCTCTGCTCTTCAGTGTCCGAGATCCCCAAAGATGCAGTTCTTTCGGTCCGCTCAAGCCAGATGTCGGAGTTCTTGAAGTCAGAAGAAACCGCTCAAGCCATGAGGCGCAGAGGACTGGATCCTGACTTCGGTCATGGAGCTCAGCTTTTGCTGGCAACAGCACTATACGCTGAACTGTGAGTGTTTCATCCTACTCGCACCGTCCCCTTGAACAACGTTCGTTCCATCGACCATTCTGACCATCTCATGCGCATGCATCGTTCTTCTACCCCTGATCGCTAACTATCGCACACAGGTCTCACCTATCTTCGTCCCGTTGGGCTGGCTATCTGAGCTCGCTGCCGCAAGCAGACGAATGGGATGGGACTGGGCTACTTTGGTGTGAACGCGAAGGCGGGCAGAACTCGTCTCCCGTCGATCGTCTCGACTTCTTCGACGACGTCAGCGCTGCTGTACACTGGCTTGAAGGCACCGAGGTCGCCAGACACCTCAGCGACGACGACGGTAAACCTGTTGCTGTGAGTGCTGGTTCCAACACCATAGTTGCCTGAACTTGCATGTGTGCATCAAAGGCCACGGATACAAGCCATGAAGGAGCCTACATGATGCCGGTTCGCGTCACTTCCATTCGTTGTATCACGTTCAATCGCCACGAACTTTGCGCTCTGCGTGAACTCAGCCTGCTGCGGTTCAGCCTTCTCTCATGAACGCGCTCTCTCTATACTGTGTATAGCGATGACGCACGTTTGATAATATGACGCGCGATGCTTCTATCTCTCTCTTTTGCGAGATGCTTCAGCGTTGCCACCTATCCTGATGTTTTCGTCATGAACTTTCGTTTGTCGCTCCCACTCTACGCTATCTTTCGCTAACGGCCGCCTACAGGACAACGTTCGCAACTTCTACCATGACGTCGCATGTCCGTTGTTCATCCGACGATGGCCGGATCCCCGACAAGTTCGAGCGGGAGATTGCGATACTCGGTCCGTCGAAGGTGCACGGATGAGTCCCGGTAGTACATGGAGTCTCGATGGCTTCCGCCACGCATACGCGCTCGTGTGTGCGCGAGCCTTCGTCGTAGATGCCTTTCATGGACTCGCGATGGTCCCCGTCGCAGATGCGTGAGTGAATCTCTATTCTTTTGCGGATAGAACCTCGGTTTCCCCGTGCAACGCCCGCCCGTCGCACGCACCCATCTACCCGCTCCAGGTCAGAAGAACCATTCTGGTTCTTTCATGTCTGTTGATAGCAGCGTGCATGGACTCATATCCATCAGCGAGGAGCATACCCTGCCCCGTCGTGGGCTAAGGGTGGCCGTGCGTTGTTTTCGGCGAGTTTCATCTGCTCATCGTGTTCGATTATCTGCTGGCAACCACATCGAGCAACGGCGATGCAGAGTTTAGAGTACAAGGTTGCCCCACCAAAAGTCCGAGCGCTTCTTGAGGTCCAGCGCGAACCCGACGCATGGTCCAGCACGCCCGCCGTGCATGGACCTGCGCCCGCCGAACAATATGCCCGTCAACGGTCACCGCATGCATGCCGTGCTCGTGTCGACAGAGCCACACCGCCGACGCTTCCTCTCCCTCGTATTCTGCTTCCTGAGTACCAAACGCGGCTGATGAATGTCCCACAGATTCAATCATGCGAATAGCAACCACGTCCATCTGGAGGTGAGAGAAGTTTTCGGTTGTTCGCCGTCTCTCCTTTGCTCCCACACTCGCGGACAAAGACGTGCGCCGCGGCGAGTCGAGACTTCGGGGAACGATGCCTGGTCCCTCCAGATTGCATATCTCTCGTAGCGAGAGGAACGAGCTCGCAGAAGTAGAAGCCCGCCGGCGCGCTTCCTCGTTGCACTCCATGCTGAGTGCGCCGAACCGAGTTCATTTCCGCCACCGTTGCGCAGCGAGGCTCGTTGTGGTATGCGATCTTAACGCCTATTCCAGCGCCACAAAGGCGCGCGCAGCAGGATGTGCCTCTCGTATGCGCCTCTACATCTGTAGTCGGCACATCTGTCTACCGCACTCAGCTGCAGATCACATTTGCATATCGGCATACGTGATGTGCTCACAGTGGGATTGTCTCCCACTGATTCCTATGTTTGTTTTGCACGTTCTCGTCAGACCGGTCCGCCGATGTCGAATCCTATCCGCGATGCATCATCTCATGGACGATGAGCTGTCTATTAGGTTTCACAGCCGTCGGCGGCCAGCCTTTCTCGACGCCGCAAATACGTCCTCGCCATGCTGGCTGTCCTTTCTTTTGAATGATGTATTTGGTTGCATGGCCGACTTCGCCGTCGGCGGGCGCTCACAGCAGATCAGCCGCGCATGCTCACGGCGCGGTGCACGTTTATAGGCGTGGGCGCCCGCGTGTCCGGCCGCCCTCATCAGGCTTCCTCCTGCTTCTGCTGGGTGAACCCGAGAGTCGAGAACGCACGCACCGGCCTCAGCTTGCGCCGACGTCGCTGGGTGCCGTCACGTCGATGCTGATGCATCGCGATGTTTATGTGGCCCATCGCTGCACCGCTGTTTCCTCATGAGGATGGGGCGGCGGCGGAGGAGTTGCGCAGTACCGTCCTATGTGCACCTGGAGCGTCAGAAGCGGGCTCGGTGGAGCACGCGACCATGCATGGGACATCGCTGAACGCTGTTGTCAACACTTCTTCGCGCGGACAATGCGGCCGTCGGTGAAGTTGTAACGAGGGTCCTAACTTTCAATTGAGGCGCTCCTTGCTGTGTCACAAGGATTTTCGCGCTGTTGATCTCCGTCCCTTTACGCCGCGGCTGTTCTGTAGACGTGCCTGTCTTCCTTCTACACTGTGCCTCTGGCCGTGCGAGCGACGGGCCCTCTATGGCACAGACTTATTCATTTTACGTCCCCTCATGCCCGGAGAAGCGCGCTGATGGCCTCTTCCTCCTCCAGACCGAGTACGATGTGTGTCCAGATTGCGGTTCGTGGGCGCGCTGCGCACACGACGAAGACGACGGACCTATGCTACAGCAGGACCACGGACGAGAAGAGTCAGACTCGGCGAGCGAACCTAGCGGGCGTGCACGAAAGCGGCCTCGGCTTTCGCTCGAAGAGGCAGTTCAAGAGCCTTCAACATTGGATGAAGAGAACACTTGCGAGATGATCGTGAATACGCCGCTCGCGGCGCCCGGCGACGAAGATGTAGAGGTCTTCAACACATACGGCCGGTTGAGCAATGCCGCTCTCGTCGCGCGCTACGGCTTCGCTCTGGACGATGCCGAGGATGGGGTACCTATATCCCCATCCTTCGTTCTCTCCGCTATGAGCGTAAAGGAACGTGAGCATGATAGACTGATAGGAGAGTGGCGGGAAGTCCTTCGCGACTGGGACGTTCGCGGTGAAGGAACGTGGACCGGTTCTTCCCGCATTTCGCAAGAGATTGAACTCGGCGAAGGAGAGGGGGACATGGGCTTCGGCGCGGACAGTGGCATGAGCCACAGCCTGTGGGTCCTCATTGCACTTATTGTATGGGAACAGGCACGCCGAGGTACAGGTGGCGAACACGAGGATGCCGTCCCCGCCCTGCGCCTGCTCGCCGCGCGGCTCGTTCTGCTGGAAAGCCGCGCAGATGAGCGCGCTGGTTACGACGACGAAGAAGATGGAGAAGACGATGACCCTGTGGTGAGTGCACACCCGCTCGACCCTGCCTGGCCTTGGCCAGAGCGCAGAGTCTTCGTCTTCATTCACAAACGGAAGAGCTCGGGCTGAGATCCTTCCACAGCAGAACCCCGCAACGCGCGAAGCGCATGCCCCTCCTGCGCCTCTCGTCGCGCCGGTGCACCTCGACGTCTCATCGGAACTTGACGCATGTCGCGACCCCGAGTCCAGCACGCTCCGCGCGCTTCTGGCCGCGGTACGCCGTCGCATCTCTTCTCTGTCCAGTTAGCCGTAAAGCTTACGGATGATCCCGGATCCCGCTCAATGATCTCTCCCGTGCCCACCCGTACACCGAAACTCTCTTCACGTCTATTTCTCCGTACGGGGCATCTCCATTGTTACCCCCGCGCGCTCCGCTATGCGTCTCGACCCGGATCTGGCTCGCGGTCCCGGTGCGCTGATACCGTCACGCTTGCACGCCGCCGTCTGTTCGCCGTACGCCGTTCACCGCCACCGCGCCCGCCGAGGTCGCTTTGACGCCCGTTCCGTCGTTGCCCTGACATTCTGAAAAACGCAGCTGCGGCGTGTATGCGCGGCGCGCTGGGCGCGTATAGCTGGTGGCCCTGCCGCCCGTGTGCGGCTCGCAGCCATGGCGCAGGATCTAGGGATAAACAAGGGTGCTGATGTTCTTGCAGGCGCGGAAACCGACGAAGCAGTGGACTTCGGACCAGATGATGTAGACCCGGTGCGCGGCTCGGGTGCTGCCGGCGCGGTGCTGGATGTACGTGCTTTCTTTCGTGCTTTCCTGGGTACGCGTCTGCAGCGTGGTATTGCGTTATATCCGGATGTGCGGTCAGAAGGTTGGGTATACGGCGCAGGTCTGTTTCCCGGCGGGTATACGATGCCTCGTGTACTACACCGTCCTGACGTTCTTCAGCGCGCTCGGTCTTTATTCCGCTAGCAGCGTGTTGCGTGCTACATTCTCCGGTCTCTTTTCGTCTTACGAAGAGCTCGATGCATGGCCGATGTTCACCGTCATTGGCAATCAGTGGTGTAGGCTCGCGGACAGTGCGTGCAGCTGTGCGCGCTTCATCTACGGTAACCGTGCACCTTGCCATACGAGGGCACGTCTCCCTCGCCCCCAATCTGTTCTGATCTGGACTCAAACTCGTACTGATCCCTTGTACACCTGTCGGCGGCTTACTTCACTCGCTTGCCTGCCTGCCCGGCCTCGCATACAAGGGCCCTAGCTCGTCCCACCTCCGATTCAGTGCTCTCCATTCTTCACGTTGTGTTCTATACTTCTCATGCTGGCCGATCGCTGACGTCGTATTTGTAACTTTTACAGGCGCTCGAGGGCAAGAAGGGTTGGTCGCGCTCGCGGGCTGCGATCACCGTAGCGCTTGGAGAGATGAGTGTGTTGGAGAGCGCATGGGCGCGTTGGGGCGAGGTGATGTCTGTCTTGTCCATGGAAGATCCCTCGGGCAGAGGGTCATAGTGCCATCTCGTCTCCATGAAATGTAATTGACAGTTGACATGAGAGAACGTTCGTGGCCCGATCGAAGGGGACTGAGCTCAGCAGAGCATAAATGCGGGAGCGGGAAAGTAAAATAAGCAGGGCAACTGCCGATTGTGGGCGCTTGAGTGTGTGTGCACGCCTCATATCCATTAGGACTCTCCGTCGAGCGGCGAAGTTCTGTCTGCGATCACGTAGTTCTAGGGTTGCTGGGTACGGTGGGTAACACGGACAGCTGTGCCGGTTGCGACTGTAGATCGACCGTTCTGGATTACGCTCTGGGCTCAGTGCGAACCGCGAGGGCGGGCACATCTTCCGACCAGTGCTTGAAGTTTACACTGCGCGCTGTCCTTTCTCAGACCCTCTTTCCTTCTTCTCTTACATACTCATAGCGGAGGCCGTGTATAGGCGCAGATGTAACACGTACTATGCTTGGCTTCCAGGCTTTCGCTCGGTCTTGCGGCATTCTTCTCGCGTGCACAGAGAGGTAAGTCGGTTTCCTTCCCCAAGCGTTATGATCCTGAGGTGACGAACAAATCTCGGGGGCTTCCAGGCTTCGATCGCGGTGAATTGGGCAGGGCCATGCTGGTCCCAGCACCTCCCATCTGATCAGCGGCGGGAGATGTCGGTGGACCGATGTACCGACTGAGGACTGTGCGGAGAGCTTGAGGGACCCACGCGAGGTCTTTGGTCTCTGTCGGCTATAGCCGGGCATGACTTTCATCTTACGGTGTGAAGACATATGGTGATGGTAAGCGATCAAAAGCGGGTTACTGCTTGCACCGCTGAGGCTCGTCCGAGTAGTCGCGCGAGCTGTTCGAGTCTTCTGTACTTAGCGATCACAGTTTGACCAATGATGCCTATGAGCTTACTAGCCAAGAACGTGCTTAGCATTCCACGATCGGTATAAGTCGCATCTAATCGGTAGCGCAACACTTCCAAGACCGTGCAAGAGCGCGACGAGAGCGGCGTGCGATCTAACTTCTCTGGATCGTACCCACCGTCGTGCATCGACGACTGTCGGGGGACTACGATACGCGAAATGAGCGCGCGGAGCATCGCCTGCTACTTGAGCTGCGCAATACCTTCCCAGTAGCCCAGGCCACTCCAAGCACGCTCAGGGATAGCTGTGGCGACAAGTTGTCGCGCGAACTTCGCAGAGACAGTAAGCAAGTCTGTAACCTTACTCGTCAAGAACGTGCTCGGACTTCCATCGTCTGTTAGATTATCATCAGATCAGTTCAGATCAGCAGCGGAAAGACCAAGACCGTGCAAGAGCGTAGCGAAGACGGCGCTCGAGCCGCGCGCGGGATTCTTCAGGCCGCATTTCCTGCCACCTACCCCAACACCGCGCATCAAACACGTCGGTGAACTACCATACACGTCTCGAACGCGCGCGCAGTACCATCCCCCGCTCCTCGCATCGGGATTCGGGGAGCAGTATCCCAGCAGAAGCGGCCTCGATCGACTCGAAACATATTGGGCCGGGCGCTTGGGCCCCTTCGGCCCGATCAGGCGAACTACAGTGGCACGGCGTCTACCGCCTCGAGGCTCCTAGGGTCGCCGCCCATTCGCATTTGCAAAAGAGAAATCGATTTGCAACGGTCGATAATAGGCTGTGCATCCCCCTGCAGATCGCTCCGCGTTTAAGCGTTTAGCTGCAATGGGATGGGCGGGCACGAGGCGGGCTTTGGCGAGCGCGTTGTGCGAGGTATTTTGAGGAGAAAGGAAGAACAAAGGAAGGACGGACGCTTGTTCGACTCGTGGGCGTCGGGTATCAGTGTTGGCAAATGTAGAGATGATGACGCGTATTTGGAGGGATCTTGAAATGTTGGGAGGCGACCGACGACAGGTGTAGTGAAGATCGCCGCCACCGCCGCGCCACCCGACGACGAACCCGAAGCGGGTACCACTGTAATGAGCGCTGCGGGTAACCTGTATGGCGAACAAAAGAGGCGGGTAGAGCGCACTATGTCCTAAAATGGGTGTCAACAGGGTGAAGGATATTGACGCATGTTGGAATGTTGAGCTCTGTTGATCGCCGCACCGCCCGAGTCGGGCAACGTATACGGCGAACAAAAGAGACGTGTGCGAGCGGGCAGAGAGCATCAAGTGCCCGAACCGGTAACGTCGGTGAAACGCGTACAGCGAGAATGCGCGCTCAATCGTGGTGCGACGCTCGACGACGTCTTCCGTGGCGATGATGGGTGATGTTTGCTTAATTCGCTGTCACTTGGGCAAGAGGATCTCCTTATGGTACCATACCGAGCATCACGCTCGTAGAGCCAACTCAATTGAACTGTAGGATAGTGGTGTTCGGGTTGTAGGACCGAGCTGACTCGAGCGGGAGGGCACGAAGCTCTCAAACGTCGATCGCGAGCGCCGTGGCGCGAGGTAGCAACGGGCGACGTAGCTACGCGAGCAGAGGTGACTCGGGCGTGAACACACGTGAGCGCGTATTCGCTGGCCGATATTCGCGCATCGAACGCTGCAAAGAGAGTATATTGATGTGTGATTGCGTATATTCATGTCATGGAAGGCAAGGAAGAGAGAGGACAGGGCGAATGACGCGCAGGGCCCGCGCTAACGCGCCTGAGGCTGGGAAAGTTGGGCTAGAGAAAGGAAATCGCTGGATGATGGAGGCGCGGACCTCGAGGACCCATGGCCGGCCGACTGGTGCGGGACCGGATGCTGATGGACCGTATGGGAAAAAGCGCTTGGGGGGCGTCGGTGGCAGTGGGACTTGGCTGGCTTGCTTGTGCTCCTCGTCAGCACCAAGAGAGCCGACGTCCTCTCCGCCGCAGTCTGGCTTCGAGATGAGAGTAATGCTGACTGGGAGGGCTACCGAAACGCGCTGGGGGAGGGGAGGGAGGCGATGAGTCGGGAATCGGGCAGTCTGTCCCAATCGGTGTGATGGGCAGCCAATCTGCCGGGTCAGGATCTGAGAAGGTTCCGGTCGAACAGGGCGGCAGCACGTCGCACGGGGGCCATGGAATATAATGGCGCGGCATGAGATGATACAAGAACGGCGCTTTCGAACTTTCCACCCGCCCTTGCCAGGACCCTGCTGCCTCTCCTCGTCCCTCCTCCTCCTCCTCTACTACTCAAACCATCCCCCGCGATTAAAGATGGACTCTGATTGGTGTATGGCCTGCGAGCGTCGCCTTGTACGTCGATGACGCCGTCTGTCCCCCAGAACGTTGTGCGCTGACCTCAGACCCCCGCAGCCAGTTGGCCAGGATCTGTACTGCTCGCCAGCGTGTGCTCGCGCCGACAACTGCGAGATGATCGCATCCCCCACGACGCCGACGCAATCGTCGATGCAAGCCTGGGCGAACCACAGCCCAGAGAACCGGATCGAGCGCTGGAGGTCGGCCGTCGTCCCTGGTGCCCCCGGCATGCACTCGGACGACGAGCGCACACCATCCCCCCGCCCTCGCCGCCCAACAACGTCCGCCCACCAACAAATCCCCCGCCGACCAAAGCTCCTCACGCAGGCATCGACGCCCGTGGCTTCGACCAGCCTCAGCTTCTCGTCCACGCCCTCCGACTCCCGCCCACTACCATCGCCCGTACTCTCCGCACCCATCACCATCGTCAACTCGCCGGGCCGGGCATCCCCTCGCGAGCATCACACTCCCCCAGTCCCCCGCCCGCACGTGCGCCCATCACCGGCCAGCTCGAGTACCGCCCTCACATCCGACGACTCGCTCCGCACACCGGTGACTCCCGTATACGCTCGCCCAGAGCCCGCACCCACAGACGCACACCGTCGCTCTCTGTGGACCCAGGTCAAGACATGGGTTGGGCCCTCCTCGGCCAAGTCACCACACGCATCCAGCCCCGCCTACGCGCCATACAACTCCCGCGCGAGCCCGTTGCTGGTCAGCGACGAGGATCTCCTCTCGACGGTCGAGATGGACGCCTGCCGCAACAGCTTCTCGGTAGTCCCCATGGCTGCCGATGACGACGAGCCTCAAGACGAGGGCCTCGCAGGCTGGTTCGCGTCGCAGATGCAGCAGCAGAAGCAGGCGCAGCAACTGCCGACGCCGGCACAGTCGGTCCAGCGCAGTGCAAAGGCGAGCGCCGCCTACGCCAAGCGCGGTCGCAAGCTCGAGCGCGCAGAGGCACGGGGCCACTACTTCGCCTACGCTCGCTGAGACGCCCCGGCTTGACGCTCTGTCCTCCTGTTTCCCGTCGCTCTCCTGTCGTCATATCCCCGCTGCTTTCACGTTCTCCGCCCAAAACGCACGCATCCATTATGCTCTTAGTCTGCCCGTCTGCCGCGTGTTGTCCGTCCACCCCTTTCGTTGTGCCCTGATTTGCTGCAGCTCCCTCTCTGTTTCCATATATGGCCCTCTCCCTCTGAATCTTGCAATCCCCTCCTCATCACCTCAAAACGCCGTCGAACGCGTCCGGACTTTCGCTCTGCAATCCCTCCATCGTCAATCACCATCGGATCTCTCTTACCCCAGCCAACCGCCCCCGCCTGTGCATATCCCAATACCCCCCTCGCATTCCCCTTTCGCCTTCTCAACACCCACCCTCCCTTCGCGTTCGCTCTTACTCTCTGTACGACTACCTCGCGATCTCAACAGTCAAACAAATCAACCAAAGTATTACATCCGGTTCTCCTCCCCCTGCTACATGTACGAACGTCTAACCTATTAGAATTTCCGCATCCACACATCCCCACCACTCGCTCTCTCTCGTCGCACTTGTTACTCGCGTTTACGATCTTAGTCTAGCTACAGATACCTCACCCGCGCGACCATTCATAGAGGCGCGCCCGCAACTATAGTTTTTTTGTTGCACTGCATCTCCTTGTGTGATTTCTTTGGCATGTCCATCATGGACTCGTCCCGCGAGGTAAGGTTCTGTGCTTGGATCCGACGTGTACAGCACTAGTACGCCCGCGGACGCGGACGCGCTCGCTCTTCTCACTTCTGGGCTTCGGGCGGGAGAGGACGCGGCGGGTTTGTGGAGTGGGAGACGCGCGTCCGTGGGGTGCGAAGGGTCGCGACCGTGATCTTGATCTCAGATCTACAACTCTACCTTGTCGGTCGCGTTTGTGCACACTGCACGTCGACTAGCGTCGGGCCACGTCGACTTGGGCGATCGCGAAGTTCTACACGGGTGACCACCGGTAGCCTTGCATGCCACGCCATACGCTTTGCTTGTCCATATACGGCTACGTACGCAAGACGAGCGTCACAGGATCCATGCGTTCTCGCGTCGAATCAGTCTGCTTGCTCCCATCGATAGATGGGGCGATTGGGTATGTCCAGTCTTAGGCAGGCGCTTTGCCTTCGCCGAGGAGCCTGAAGAGAGCCGCGAGTGTACGTTAGCGTCGTGTGCGTGCACGGTGCGGTTGGAGCTTGCCGCTTGACGGGCTTGAGAGGCTTTGAAGTTTGTGGCAAGTGCCTCGCTTGTTCGGGCTGCGCCGGCGCCACGAAGGATCAACGAGATACACGAGCCCGTTCAAGATATTTCTGATACACGCGGCGCCAACGTTCACCGTTCGTTCTGTCTCCTGTCGTTGTCCAGGCCCGTTGTGCGCCTATACGGTCGTGAGCTCTGTAGGACCTTCGTTCTTCCTTCGCTTCTGAGATGTAGGTATAACTTCTGCTTTGCGCACAAGGAAGCCGTGCATCGCATCGCACCGCCCCTCAGCCACCACTGATAATGATAACTCGCTTCGAAGTCATCTATCGCTGGCTGTCTTTATCCTCGATCGGGAGCGATACAGGCTCAAGCTCTCGAACTCATGCGCACCAGGAGTTCATCCTCCCAGCAGCAGTGGGTGAACACCTCTCTTCCCCATCTGGCGTGTATGCACCCGCCAGCAGCGGCCTCCGATACCTCCATCGTACTTCACGCGCCGTCCGATTGATTATCCTGATCGTCCGTACGGCAGCTCCCGTTCCCTTCGCCCCACTCCACACGCAACACAACACACAAAGTCGCACTCCCATCGCTCTAAGCGCTCGCCGCTCAAGTCAGCGGCGCCGATCCTGATCTCGAGACTTAACGGTCAAGATCTCGGATCGGTATTCGGGGATAGTTGACAGGCAAGTCTAGATTAAACCGTTGCCACGCGCGCCTCGCCTCGCCGCTCTCTCAGATTCTATGTGTGGCGGCGGCGTCGCCGACCTATGTGCACGACTGCACCCAACTCGAATGCGCACGGTGCATTAACGTCGTTGATTCGCCGGGGCCGGGTTGGTCGGAAGATCGTACGCGCCTGTGGGCTGTCCCTTGACGACATACTATACGGTTATCTGTCAAACACAGACCTCAGAGAACGGGGTATCGCCGAGGGGATTGGCAACGCGCGCTCATCGGCGGGATTGCGAGGTTGCCGGTGAGCAAAGGATTGCGTCGAGGGGCGGCTCGGGCTTTCATCTGCGCCTGTCTTGTCTTGACACTGGCAGACTGTGCATACAGTCCGCTGTCGGGCTTGTTCGAGAGCTTTGAGAGTGCCGTGCACTTCCGAGAGAGAGAGACAGGTACGGCGCTCATCTATCCGTTTACCGACGCGCGGCGATCTGTTGTGCGGCGTCGAGCGAGTCGAGGCTCGATTGCTGACTAGAGATAGTTGCTCATATCTTCCCGCCTGCCCTCAAACATCGGTGGCGCTGTATTATGTAGCGTTTGAATACAGCTGAAGCTCGGAAGAGCAAGAGCGACGGTCTTGAAACGAGATGAGGCTCTTATGAAGGGCGAAGAGTGGCGAGGACCTCCACTTCATCTGGACGTCCCGGGCGTCGCTATGTTTACCACCCGTCCACATTCGGGTGAATCGGGGCCAGACTCTGTAGCTCTTGCACGCATGTGCGGGATGTGGCGCGCGCGATAGAGGGCGAGCACGCCCTGCGATTGCAGCGGCCTGCCAGTCACACCAATCCGCACACGCCTCTCTCATGCCTCGCCTTGTCCTTACGAGGGACGTCCTTCCGTTCGAAAGTCTGTTCAACAATCCTTGCTTTGTTCGCGTTGGTTATCATGACCCGCCCGCCGAGGCCGAAGCCAAGTACGGTCGTATATGGCATCGAAGTTCGCCCTCCCAAACTCCATCGTAGCATACAATCGCGCGGACCCTAGCCTTCGTGATTCGCCAACACGCCCCAAAGACGCGCGCGTTCTCGCCGCCCGATTATAATGCGTTTCGTTTCGCATCTTTTGATTCGAGAACGCTGAACTGTATGCGGCGCGCGAGAGGTCGAACTCTATCTTCGTGGCGTGCTCGCCCAATGAGGGCCTGAAGGCGGCGCGAGGTCCGAACGAGGTCTTCCTTCCTGAAGCCGGTCTTCCCTCGCGCAGCGTCCACACCCGCATGCTCAAAGGACCATAGCGCGTCGCCCCGCGAAGCAGAAAGTGATGCATGACGCAGCGGGCCCCGTCGTAAACATCTCGGACTATTCGACGTCCTCCGCGGATGCCCCATCTGCCCTTCTCCAGTCCCAAACCCGCGACGCGCAGACCCAACGAGGAAGCCCAACTCAGATAAGTGCTGCAGACGCGCGAGAGCCAAGGCGTTCTCATGTTGTCATACGTTCGATACGCATACTGTATTGCAGTCCCGCTATAGACGCCCTCGGCCCAGTCCCCGTGGAAGACTTGCACGCAGCACGCCCGGAAATGTTCACGAGAGGCCGCATGGCCCATATCCTTGGTACGCCTCCTCGCGACGGTCCCCAGCGCGCACGCCGCCCAACCCATGCTTCACGACTGTTCGTTGTACGCATACGAAGCAAGCAGGCAAGGTTTGGGGGCGTGATGACCCTTCGCCGGCCCAGGCCTGTTCGAAGTTCGCACCGCGCAAGAAGTTGATGATGAACTGATGCGTGCCACAGGCTTGACAGCGCCCACCCTGCGGCCTCCAGCTACAGGTAGGTTTGCGTCTAACTGCGTCTCGTACGCGCGGGGCTATACAGAGGATCTGCTTGGCTAACAGCACGGGTATGCGGATGCCGTGTATTGGCTGTCGCGCCACTGCGTCTTGGGGATCCTGCCCAAGAGGCTTCAACGCTGCGCGCGGGCGCGCTCGCGTTGCCTTGAGCACGTTTGTATCGATCCCGGTCTCACTGTCCCCGGTGTCCGGCCATAGAACAACGCCTGCACTTGTCGCTCTGTGGGTACATGCACCTATCGGCCGCCTCAGAGACATAGTTCACCATCGCGAAGGGCCCTGCACTTCTGAGTTCTCGATAACGTTGAGTTCTCAATGTTCGTCATCGCTCGCGCATGCATATAGACGTTCGCGAAGCAGCGATGACGCACGCTTGCGTTGTGCGCGATCTGCCGGTGTGAAGATGCATGCTTTGCAAGGTCGTATAGCGTGGAAGAACTTCAGGTTCGTATGCTTTGCTGATGCAATAGCGACGTCGATCGTGAACGGCTTGCTGCGACGAAGCAATTCGGAGGCCGAGAGGGAAGCAGAGTGCGGAAGCGGAGGTGCCTGCGCCAGCTTTGGCAGGGCAAGATTAAACATCACCGCCACCGACAGGCAGCCATTACCGCATGCAGGTCCGCGCGCGCTATACCCAATCTTGATCGACGCCGTCGGCGCGCATAATGAAGGGGATCGCCTGACCACAAGTGCTGACTCGCAAAGAACGTTGCCTGTCAGCGGGATTGACGTTCTCCGCGGAGCGCAGAGACCTTCGCAGTGGTCGATTCTAGAGAGCGATCTGCGCGCATGATGGTGGTGATATGAGTGAGCGAGTATGCGAGACCGCTCGCTGAGTTGCTGACGTCGAGTGATGCATCGCAAAACATGCTCGCTGCGCGGCCAACGGGGCGAAATTGAGGGTACGTTCTGACGATAGAGGCCGAGAGTGGCTTGCAGCAGGCCTGCCTGGCGCGATTGCATTCGGAACCGGTGGCTACGCGATCTCTCGCGGGAAGGGTCTGGAGTTCGGAGGTAGAGCAATCCGTGCGTGCAAAGAGGCAATTAGTGCGCCGAGCAGCTTCGGTTCCGTCGCGTAGCACCGGTACGGTTAAACGCGGTCTCGGCGCGGACCTCTATCCAGCTCTAACGGAGGCATACAGTAAGCATCCATAACAAAGCAGCAAATAACTGAGCACGCACCTAGAGCGGGGCCCCGCAGATCGAGAAGGTGGGCCAGTTGAAATTATGGGTCCTTCCGCGCCACACAACCTTGGCTTGCTGAGACATCTGCACAGCAATCGAAGAGGCCAAAAGACGCGGATCAGGTCATGCAGATTATGTGCTATGGACAACGAGAGGCGCCCGAGATGGTCGCGTGAGCGTCAGTCGCGCCTCGAGGCTCGCAAACCGTGGTGCGGCCGTTGCCGATAGACCTTCGCGACGGACCACCACGTGCCCTGGCGCTTTCTTCCGCGCGGCCACTTCCCAGTCCCCGAGTCTTCTTCAGCGAATGTAGCGAAGCCTCATGCGCGTGCATGCGCTACGGAAGGCCACAGAACATGTTGGAGGTTTCGACAACGGAGCCGAGCGCGTCGTCTGCGCGTCAGTGGGAACATCTTTGAGGGCACCCTCGTAGCTCGTACCCGGCTCCGCGCGCATACACGCCCGTGCAGTTTTCGTGTCTTCGATACGTTGTTACTGGTAAGAAGCATGGCTTGTAATAGGTCGTAGTGCGGTGGACGTCGAGGTATAGGTTTAGCGCGGCGGGCGCTCTGAGGCCGACGCGCTTCTCTGCGCCCATTTCAGTGCAATCGTGGCCCCATATCGCACCCAACCTGACGCTTGAACTTCTCCGTGCGCTCTAAGCTACTTCCTGCGAGATCACAGGTTGCATCCCGCCAGCCGCAGCGTCTTTAAGGGGGTTAACCTCTCAGGCAGCCGAATTGAGCTCGCGTTCTTCCAGCTGGGCGCTGGAAGCCGACTGCTATCTCTCAGCATCCGCGCTTCTTTCCCGCTCAAACTTTGCGCGGTACCTTTCTCTGCGGTCAGGAGGGATCGGCCTTTCGTCAATCACGGTCACGCTGACTGCGATCGTGAGCAGCTTGTACGCTTCTTGCGCTTTGAGGGTTACGCATTGTTCACAGAGCAGGGCGCATAGGACAAGTTATGTGTCTTCTGCCCTACAGACACCCCTTTCGCGCTCCTTCTACTGCGGCTGCAGGACGGGGTTACAAGTACAACACAACCCTCATACCCCCCGCACGATCGGACGTGCATACTCTCGGCCACGGGCAAGGAGGGTTTGCACTCGAAGTCTTCACTGACATCGGATGGGCCATGTAACGGATCATCTCACAAGAAGAAACACTAGTATGTGCACTGTTCGCCTACGATGTGTGATGAAGATGAACAGTGAACGCAAATAGCAGCGTATTGGTGCACCGCATATCCTCGCTTGGTCCTCGGTTTCCCAGCTCACGTCTGCGTGCTACAGAAAGATCTCTCTGTCGGTGCGCGAGTTCTTAGCCAAGTGCGTTCCTCGTGTACGACATGGCAGTAGTACATCGTAATCGGTGACTCAAATATGCCCAGCGGAATCGCTGCCTTGACGGACGATGGATCTCATCGTGCCTTGTGCCGTACGCTTTCTCACGCGAGCGAGACCTGCCTATGTGTTTGGGCGCTGCATACTTGACACGGCCTACGACAATCTTGTCGAATGTTCGATGCGTCTTCGGGAGAAGCCAGTAAGCATCAACCATCTTGAGATTCCCGCACCCGAGTAACTCACACCTCTGACTGTACTCACAGATCGCCTGTACACCGCCTCAACAGCATCATGATGAGTTCACCTGGGACACCCATGGACACCCCTACTCGGCCTGTGCGCTATGCGGGATGGAGGGCTCGATGTAGCTATAGATCTGGCACGTATCGGACTCGGATTTAAGATTAACCACCAGTACCCGCGCCACAACGTTCATGGAACGGCATGGGTTCAACTCTTGCTCTTCTTCATGCCTCTCCTGAATGGAAGCTCAAGTTTATGGACTCTACTTGTCTTCATCTTCTCCGTCCAGCTTCGATCATCTACGAACTAGCAGAAGGCCATCTGCAAGATCGAGCAGTTTTGACTGAACAGCTTCTGTTGTTTGTAGACGCTAGCTAGCCGTGACTGTGGTTCTACGATGGCCGTTGAGTACACGGAGACCACCTAAGTCCGGCAGCGAGAGAGGTCCATGGCCTCTCCTCCCATCGCATCAGTTCGCTGGCGGGAACGCTCGTACCTGGCGCGCTCCCGATTGTAGCGCTGGATGTGTCTTACCGGCCCGAAGCCTTCACTGACTGACTGAGGTGGCACAACGAAGGTCGGCCTCTGTTCGTCTAGCCCGTCTGCCTGCATAAGCGCGCGTTCACCGGCTGCGTCGGGTCCTGCGCGCCTATGACGGCGCATCAGGCGCCCTTCCGCCCCTGCGCTACTTCGCTTTTGGACAAGGCGCCGCCTGCGGGGTGACTTGTGCGGCCGGAGAAGCAGCTGCATACGGTCAACGTTGTATGTACGCTTGGCACATTGCAGATTCTACTACGACAAGGCGCATGATCACAACACGGTTCCTCTCTGTCAAGAGATGCGTATACGTTGTATTGAGGTTGCGCGATAGCTGACCACCAAGCATACGCGTAACATCCTTCTCGTACTTGGCGATGCACCTTATTCCGGAGCGCGCGGGCTTACAACTCCAGAAATGTTTGCTCCGAGCAAAATTCGAACTCAGCCTGAGAATGTGGCCCAGACTTGTCAGTGGTATTGTGTGGACTTCGGCTGCGTCGGCACGATGTGGACCTTCAGGTGTTCCGTTTTAGAATGTCCCGTTGCCAGGGTGGACATAGAGACTATACGTATCATACATACTTACCGGTGGTCCGGTAGCGTATGTCCTTCAATATTCCACGTCAAGGCCTGTCAGTACCACGTTGCGATTAGCTCTGCACATACTGCATATGCGTACATTCAGTCTCGGCACCGCGAACGTCGGGAGTACGGTGAGAGTGAGAGCAATGCGGCGTCGATGTCTACCACAGACATGTTCGCAAGGGGGTTAGCAGCTTGGATCGGGACCCACCAGGCCAGATCACTGCGCCTCCGTAGCCTCGTGCCATCACCGCCAGTCATACCGCATTACTAGGTCATAATGAATTGATTAAGTTGATGTATTCCCGAGAGGTGATCGTCGGTCTTCCCGGCTTCTCTTCTGAAGCCACAAGTCCCCCTCGATTATTCTCGGCCTGCGATTCCGTGCATCACCTAACGTATACACTGCCCTGCGGGCTTGGCCCACCCTCAGCTGCTCAGAAGCCCAGCTCAGGATTGATAGGCTTGATGCAGGGTCTGGCCATCTGCCGAGTAGGCGCAGAGATAGACAGGGATTCTGGATTGTCGCGCCAGCGCATCTTGCAGCTGACCCAGGAAAACAGAAGCCTGCGCAGATGGTGGCGCCTGTTTGAACAGTCTTCCTGTCGCCAACGCAGGGCCGTCCACCAGGCGGTATGTTCTCAATACGACACTGACATTTGAACATGACATCAAATTCAGGAGAGCCGGCGGCATGTCGACGGCACAGGAGCTTCTAGCTTACCTTTGTACGCTCGACGTGCCGATAGACCCGGCGGTGTAGTTATAGATAGCGATGTCCCTCCTGTATCTGTCTTCTGGGATCAGTGACTACCAACCAGCCGAGAATGTAGGCAAGGTGAAGGCCCGAGGGCAGCGCACCATGGGCGCAGTAGCCGATAGATGGCAGAACGTCGATAGTTATACGCAGAAGGCGCAGAATCGGGCTGCCGGAAGTACCTCTCCGGATACAAGCAACTCTGCGTACCATGACGAGGTGGAACTGGAGGGTAGGAGGAGCGTTTGCGAGACTCAATAGCCGGATCTTTGGACTTCTAGGTGAGCCCAAGGGCGCTAAACGAACAGTTGTTCAACAGCGTTCGACGCTTTCGCCGTCAGTTGGACAACCGCAGTCTATCTCCGTCCAGACTTTCCCTAGTCTCGATCGTCTACTGTGTAACCTGTGATCGCATGTCGCCATATTTGTACGCATGGAATCATGATTGCTAGCACGAGGCCATACGGACCCGGTGCGGGTGAGGGCGGGTGTCACGGCCGGTCAGCGAACTTCATCGTCAGAACGCTGCTATTCATGACGCACGCAAGGACTGTATCCAGGGGTGTACGAACTCAAAACACTATACTTGACACTCATAGCGATAGGTGAGGACCAGAAGATGCTGGACAAGTCATTGCAGAAGAAAGCGCCCAAAGCTGAATGACCTGCGCGCAATCAGCTGCGAATGTGTATGTTTTTCGCGTGAGGGGCGAACCTGATAGGTCTCATGGGCACGACAGTTCGTATAGCAGCGCCTGATCGACGCAGGTCCAGGACCTGGCTGTGGACCTCCTCCGGAGAGCATTGGCCGGAACGTATGCTGTAAATGCTGTAGATTTCACCATCAACATGGTGCCGGACCTGGTACAAGCCCCCCTTACCTTACGGTCCCGGCCCTAGGTCTGGCGATCGCCCGAAGGTCTGCCCGGGCTTATGCGTCAGAAAGTCTAAATCACACCGTCAGCAAGCGTTCAGAGGTTGCACGCCGAGCACATACCGGAACATGGGAAGATATTGGGGAGTATGACCTGCCCCAGTGAGCAAGGCCCGGCAAGTCGCGGAGCATCAGCATGCGGCGGGGCTGCATCTACGTTCTGTAGAACGAAAAGGAAAGTCCGCTTGCTTCTTCGACGCGAGGCGTGTCTGGTCGCAGCAGGCAATCCCATAAACTGTGACGTTTTGTCTGCCTGCCGTTTACCTGGCGGTTGCCGTGCTGTAGTCGGATCTCGAAGTGGACATGGAGCTTACGATTACCAAAACCACTCGTAGCGTCATCAAAAGCCCCTATAGCTAGGCTTGTTAGTAGTGTTGGTGTTGGTGCAACGCTGGGAGGACGTTGGTCTCCAGTACCTTTCGATATCCCTCAGATATCCTATCCAAAGCGCAGATTCATCGGTCGGAATACGCAAGACCTCGAGCGAAGTCAGGAAGAAACGCAACAGAAGTTGTAATACGCCGCCGATAGCCAATGTCGGCACCTTACGCAGGGATAGCCACCGAGGCAAGCCTATTCGTCTAAACATGCGTGTCGTGAGTTAGCGCAGCACAATCAAGCGGAAGCACGAACAATTGCTCACCGGTATAGTGGCATGAGGTAACCTCGTTGTTCTTGGGGTCGGGCTGAACAACTGATGAGAAGTGATCCTCGGGGAACAAGGGGAGTCCAGACCGACGTACGATGGTGTTGGTCTGTTATGAGGTAGATTGCGGAGGTGGCAACTGTCCACATGAGGTGAGAGAGATACCGAACACGCTTGACTGACCAACTTGTGTAGGCTCTACGATGACTCCATAAACATGCTTGACATTACAGTGCGGCAGCCTGCATGAGCGTTCTGGCTCAATTGTTACAGCAATGGATTATGATGCGCTGAAGCAGAGTTAGCGAGACTGGACAAAAATCGAGGATCGTTGCTGACCTTGCAGACATGCACGAGCGAACGAGTAACGGGCACCAGATTCTGGTTGAAGTGCGATTAGAGGCTCGGCCGCGACAGAGACCTTGGCCCTCTGGATAATGACGTCTAGAGCGAGATGCTGCCTCAGTGGAGTACAAACGTTCAGTTATCAGACATAGAAATGACATCGGTACAGGGCAGTGTGATGAGGTGTCGGGCAAGCAGCGCACGTTGACGTTGACGCGCACATCAGACTCGGCACCAACGCTGTAGGCGTGCCATACATGCACCACGACACTCGAGATTGACTGTAGATATTCGAATCGCCGCAACCACGACGGGGGATACATGCGGTCTACCCAGGTTCAGATCGAGCATCAGACCATTGCGGGATGTACGTCTCACGCATCCGCGGTATACTCACACCTTAATGGACAAGTCACCGTTGATCTTGCAAATTCAAGCGTGTTGAATTTGGGGTGGGCCGATCTCTTCCGTGGCTGCATATATCGCCGAGGAATATTACACAAACTGAGTCGTGTACGCGAACATCTTTTCATCTCAGAGCTGCCTTGTGAGGTAGAGAGTGAGCGTGCGATAGCCAACATGTACGTCTACTTACCACACACGGTCTGGACCAGAGCAGTCTCCACTCATTACAAGCACAATTTCTGCCATTACGCGTACATACACACCTAGGCCTCGCAACAGAAGCCAAATACTCAAGATAAGGCGCGTTTGATGACATTTTCGCCGTCCCTCGCAAGCAGACACGGGTGAACGGCATGAGCCGACTACTGCGGTGGTCCTTGGAACCTATAAGCGGAGGAGTATGTCAGATGGTGAATTACAGCGAGATAGATATGAAGCTTACCCAGGCGGTGGTCCACCGAAGCCGGGTGGTGGGGGGAAAGAACCTCCTGGGGGAGCAAATCCAGGAGGAGGGCGGAAACCAGGTGGCGCACCGGGCATACCGGGAGGCGCAAAAGGCATGGGAGGTCGGCCAGCCATACCTGGGGGAGCCACTGGAAGTGATCGATCAGGATGACTCCATCAAAATAGTGTTGAGGGTGACTTACTGGGAGGCACCATACCCATTCCACGACCTGCGGGCATACCACGACCAGGACCAGCGGGAAGCTGTAATAAATGGTGAATCTAAGTACTTTAGTGTATGAATTGAAAGCACTCACAGCACTCTTCGCCTTGTCGTCATCCTGTGCCGGCGGCGGACCCTCGACGCTCAAGCTCACGACCGCCTCTCCGCGAAGAATAACAAGGCCGAGTGTGCGCTTCATCTCCTGCTCTGGTGCAGGTTCGGTTTCGCCCTGCTTCCGTTTCGGGCGTACGCGGCGGAATTCCTCGCATTCTGCCAGCACAAGGTTCATATGCTTGTCGAATGCAAGCATTTGGCCGGTGAGTGCGCGTCCGTCGTTGATCGTGACTTTGATCCTCCAGTTGATGAGCGACAGCATCTTGCCGCCTTTGGATTTGGGAGGAGGCTTGAAATATTCGTCAAGAGGATATCATTGAGCAACGGTCAGTTACACGCACCATGGTGAGCAACGACCTTGGTAAACGCGGACTAGGATGGTGGTCGATGGCAAACGACGCGTCGGCAAACGAGGCGCGTTTGTCGCGTGGACGGCGCTTGCGCCTGCCATCAACCGGTCCTCACGCTCTTCTTTCCAACTTTGATGACGCTTCTCATGCTCTGCCACTCACGAGCGAGATATACCCTACACGAATGTATATCTACCACATACATACTGCGGTATATGCACCATCTTGCTCGTTCGTGGTGGGAACCGCCGCTGCATGCCGTGCGGATGCTCGTCTCTGCATCCAACGCCCATCATACCCTCCAGCCCACCGAGCGCGCAGACCCTGGAGTATGCCTGGAAAGCTGAAATGAGCAATGAATGGACGGCTTGCGTGCTGGATGCACCCTGTCTCTATTGCCCCAACCCTGGCTGATACTGTGTTACAAGTATCCGGGGACGGCTCGCCGGCACGATTATCTCCTAACGGTCCTCTGGCATCGCGCAAGAGTTCTATTCGAGGGAACTCTTCGTCATCGACTTGTCGTGGAGACAAACCCTCCCGTGAAGCTCCTCGGGTACTCACGATTACGCCTACGAGCTTGTTTTACCCCCCTTTCACTAGTCAACCACGAAACTTTGGCGACCTCGCCGCCAATCTCAACTTTCACCGAAGAACACTCCCATTAGCATGGTTCCTACGCGGTTTCTACGCCTGTTGACCCCATCGGCAAATCCCGTAGGATTTCGAGTCAGCTGCGGGTGTCTTTCCTTCACCACCAGGAAACCCCAAATTTCCATGGCGCTCACATGAATGCACTCCGCGGCTATGCGACAGAACCTCCGACTTTCAGACAGGAGAGCACGATGTACGCGTCATTCACCCCAAAGTGGTCGTCGTCACTGACTGCTTCCAGGCTGCGGCATATTCAACCGTGGTAGTCCCCAGGAGCCACCAAAGACATTATACATCCGGACATACAGTTATGCGGTCAACGTTTTCAGGTCCCGCACTCGCTTGGTCCGCGAACTGGCTCGAAGTTTGCGAGCAGCGTAGTGGCAGAGGTCGGGAGCACCATCTTCTCCTTAGTTGGTGCGCGGTATAAGAACAACCACCGACACACTTCCGTATAATCAGCACCAGCATCAACATCAGCGCCAACACTCATCCGCACTCCGACACCAGGCCTCCATCTCCCTTTCGATCCACTCACGATCATAATGTTCTCCTCTACCCGCCTTCAAGTCTTCGTTTGCCTCGCGCTCGGCCTCGCCGTCCAGGCAGCTCCCGTCAGGTGAGTCCGGGCGATGCGCGCTTTCGCGGTATCACTGGCTGACAGCAACGCTTGCAGCGCTCCTGGTGCCGTTGCAGTCGCGCGTGACGATGGTGACTTCAACGCCGACGGGGAGTTTGACGGCGGCCTCTCGAGCACGTTGAACGACAACCTCGGCGATAACCTCAGCGACGAGATCAACAACAACTTTAACGATGGCTTCGGTGACGACTTCCCCTTCAACGACTTTGGCGAGGACTTCGGTAGCGACTCCTTCGATAAGCGTCAGCCCCTCCTCGGCCTTGGAGGCTCGAGCTCGTCGTCCGGACTCCTCGATGGCTCGGGATTGGATTTGGGCACCTCCTCGAGTGATGGCCTTCTCGGCGGCCTCAACCTCGGCAACATCGTCGGTGACACCGACCTCGGCGTTAATGCTGGACTTGATGCTTCCAAGCGTCAGATCTTGGAGAACCTCTTCGGCGAGGGTTCCGATCTGGCCAACAACTTCGGCCTTGGCGCCTTGGGTGGTCTGAGTGGCGGCCTGAGCGGTGGCACCTCAACTAGCACCTCTACCGACGGCACTGACAGCTCCACCGACACGTCCGTCGACGGCTCGACCGACGACTCTACCGATTCAAGCGGCCTTGATGGCCTTCTCGGCGGTTTCGGTGGCAGCGGCAGCGCAGGGCTCGGCTCGGGCTTTGGTCTCAAGCGTCAGGTTGACCTCGCCTCCAGCTTCGGCGCCGACGGTGGTCTTAACATCAACAGTATTCTTCAGCAGCTTGGCATGAGCGGCAACGTCCTGACAGGCGGCAGCGTCTCGGCGTCGGGTACCGACGCTGCAGTCACCGCCACCGCCACCGCGACTGCCACCGATTCCGTCGAGACGGGTACCATCTCCATCCCGACGGCGGTCACCGCCACCGCAGGCGCTTCCGCCACGGGCACGACCTCCAATGGGCTTGACCTCAGCAACATCCTTGGCGGACTCAACCTCGGCAATAGTGCCAACTTCGGTCTTGGCGCCAGCGCTGGCGCGAACGGCGGTCTTGGTGGCCTTGACCTCAGCTCGCTCAACCTCTAAATGGTATGTGGCACGCTTCATCTCCTTTTTGACGCAACACTCACACTCCCTCCAGGCTTACACCCGTCATTGAGAGTCTGTGAGCGCCTAAATTAGAATGAAATGTATATTTGTACGATTATTGTGTTGTATAGTAATGCGAAATCTCTCCGCCTTTGTGCCAAACATCATCTTTCCACCTTAACTTGCGTGATTCTCAACTGGGTCCGTGGCCCCATCGAATACGTGAGTCACGGCAGCGTTCTCGCCTCCAGTAATCCGCCGCATACTCGCGCCTCCAGTACATATCCTGAGAAAATCATGCAGAGCGCGATGATGGATGTGGGTGCGAACGCTTGAGCTAGAACCACCACCATTCCTGGGCTGCCTCGCCCGTCCAATATACACGCTTTCCTTTTGCGTATTCTCAAACCCATATCGTTCTGGCGGAAACGTCAGCAGGGTGTAATCCTTTGACCTGCCTAGCCGCGTACGTCAACGCGAGAGTACCAGGCTCGGATAGTCGGTCCGGTGAAACTGCACGCGCGCAAACAACGCGAAGGACGACCACGCTCTTCATCCCCTCAGCCACGACGCACCTCCTCAAGTTACCACTCTGCTAGCCCTGTCGCTTGTATGATACGCGTCAGCTCTCGACGATAAGGCGACAGTACCACGTTGAGCTTTGGCGATGTGATGCGTCGCCTCGGGCACATCGGATTGGACTGCGACATTATCCTTCCGCTCACTTCCCGTCAATAATACGAGGGCCTCTTCCACTTAGGATCCCCGTTCGAATCCAGTGCGAAGACGCTCTCATTGCATTCAGACGCTACTGTCTCCTCCTCGATATACGCAACGCCTTGCGTCCGGTACTCGATACAGAAGTCCACCGTACTTGCGGGCTACTCCTCACCAGCAAGCCACCTATCAAAGCCGGAAGAACTCTCTGCTGTCTTAATTCCGGTTGATATCAGGCACAACATCTCATATACAGAGCCCGCACGACTTGGATGTGCTACGTTGATCCCTCTTGCGAACGTGCTTCACGCCTCGGCTTCGACCCTTCGAGACAGGAGCATGCATGGTGCGCGTCATCGACCCGGTCCCGTCACCGTTGAATGCAAGATCCCAGCAATACCTATTTCCACCCCCGGAGCTATGAGAGACAATCGGTACCTGGACACACAGCTGGGTGGTCAGTACGCTCAGACAGCTCTCCTACGTGCTCCTGCCGAAGCCTGGGCTTGCGTGAGCGCATCCCCGGGAGAAGAACAGTGACGCTCTTTCTTCCGAAGATTGTTCTGCAGCGGGTCGTATAAGACGTGAAGTCGTTCGGTGAGCTTTATCCTCAGCACCAGCAGCACCAGCAGCCTCCGCTCCTCTACATCCACCCTCTTCATCCACTCTTACCTCACGTTCACGATGCTCTCTGGTACTCGCCTCAGTGCCCTCGTCTGCCTCGTGTTCGGCATCGCCGTCCACGCCGCACCTGCTGGGTCAGTTTCTTCCTCCCCTCGCCATCAACTTCTTACTGACCTGTCGCCTATAGCTCCGACACCAACACCCACGTCGGTGCCGGTGCAAACATTGGTGACATCGCCAACCTTGGCTTGTCCGGCTCCGCCCACACCGCCATGAGCGAGGACGACATCACCAACGTTCTTGGCCACCTCGGTCTCACGACCGGGGTCAACGTCGATAAGCGCCAGATCCTGCAGAACCTTGGCCTCCCTGCCGGCTTCAGCCTGAACGACCTTCTCTCCGCCCTCGGCTTCTTCAACACGAACGCCCTCTTCACGACTACCTCGAACGGCGTCGTCGTCACGGCCACGGCCACGGCCAGCGTCTCGGTCTCCACCGCCAGCCCGACGACGACGTTCACCGACTCGTTCAGCCTCCCGTCCATCACTCTTACTGCCACTAACACCGGTACTGGTACCGTTGCTGCGACCGCCACCGCGACTACCACAGCCAGCGCTAACACGAATGGTCTCGCTGGCCTCCTCTCTTCGCTCGGCTTCGGCAATGGTGGCTTCGGCGGCAACGGTGGCTTCGGCAACTTCGGCAACTTCGGCAACTTCGGCAACTTCGGCGGCAACGCTGGTGTCAACGCTGGTGCCAACGGCGGACTCAATCTCGGATTGTAAATCATGGTGCGTTTTAACCTGGACGTTTTTGACTACGTTCACTGACTATTTCGACAGCCTCCATCTCATTCGTAGACATTCGCTTGCATGATCGTGTTCTTTAACGACTACTCATGACCCGGACATTATATGTAGTATCACAGCCTGTAACGCCCTTCAATGACAACTTATTCTTCTCTTTGCTTTCGGATACTAGTTCAGCGAGTCCTTCGGCCTGAACACACTTCAGTCAGAGCAACCTCTCCGTTCATGAATATTCCCCACCTTCTTGACTGTCAAACCCTCACGTTCACTGGTCGTCGGGTTCGTGCATCGCATCCACTGCCTGCGCCTTACATCTGATATGCGCGTATTTCGTGAGGCGCTGCCGGTGCTATTCGTCCCTCGCACCTTGGATGCTTCGGCCGGCGCTAACTTCACGAGCATACATATCTTGCTTGACATCATCGTAAATTATCCCCGGCTATGCACCCATTGGTAAAGTAGCAGACCTGATTACGTTCCCCCATACAATCCAAAATATATATCGCAGCCTGAAGCGCAAGCCCATAAACACAGGAATGTCTATCAACCAGCAAAACTTCTTGGCCATTCTATACCGAAGCCAGGACTACACGTCTCCTTCCAACGCCAACGCCTGTTGCTCTTCCTCAAGCGCCTCTATTGATGCGGGAGGCGGAGGAGCAGCGCCATACATCACTCGTTGTACGATGATCACTACATCGCACATCAGCGCATGATACATGTACAGGGGAATCAAGCTACGCACCGCAGTCGGCGCTTAGTTGAACGATGGAGCCGAACTTGAAAGGGATGGGCGAGCCTTGGGAGAAGAAGTAGGCAGCCCTATAGCAAAGGTCAGTCGATGCATGAAGCGACGATGACCATGTACTCACTTGAAGGCGTCTCCGCCGACCCAGCCCGCGAGCGTCGACAACCGGAAGCCGTACAGCGTCTTATTTTTGAAGTTGCTGTGAGAGTGTTAGACACAGCAGAAACAGGGATGGCCGTGAGAGCTTACTTGTACAGTTGCGGGAAGGGCAGCGTGCTTTCAATACCGAGAGCGACGAACCCGAGAACTTGGACGAAGGCGTCGTAGCGCCCGAAGATGAGGAATAGGATTGTCAGAACGACACTGCATGCAACTATAAGTGCTATGTAGACTTCCAGCCGGTGAGGACTCACATGTATCCGGCGAGGAACTCGACGTATTGCGCGTACGTCGCCCACTGCCAGAATGAGCCGGGTCGTGTGCTTGCGCCGAGGTTCTCTGGGCTCGTGATGGGCTTGTACAGGATACAGATATAAAGCATCGCAAGCTATGATTACAGTCAGTCCGTGTACCGAGTATGATATCCAGGAGACGCACCATGGAGAGTATGAGCAATATACTCTGCATGAGCAGCGCGAATTCGAAGGGGTCGCCGAGCCAGAAGTAGCAGCGCATGATATTCGCGAGTAGCCTTGGAACGGCTCCGGCATCAGCTCCCTCATCTTGCAGTCACAGAGAGGAGCGCGCACAGTACGGCGCAGATATCACGCGAGAATCCAGTAGCGTCTCTGGAATATCCGTCAGCCAGAGTTAAACTAGAGGTTATTGGGGCACGCGCACTTCTTGCGTACTATGGAGTACGCCTGGTCGGCATAGACGAGAGACGGGCCGATCGCCATCCCTACGGATGCAACCGTCGACATCCATTGTGGCAAGACCATGATGCTGGAGGAATCGGTGCCGCCGTAGTGGCCGTTCGTGTCAAGCCTGGCCTTCCGGGGACGCGTTCAAGCCGCTGGGTGCGGTCGCGGGCGCTTGTTGCTTCTCGCCGCCATGTACAGCCCGTGGCGGGTGTCTAGCGTTCGTGCATGTAGCTGTAGCCCAAGGACTACCTTTTGGCTCAGTATCCTGCATACGCGGAGCGTGGTCTGACATCTGTTCATCGTCATGTCAAGCCTCTTCGTAGCTGTCTTGGCTCGCTTTCGTTCGACTTTGACATGCGATGACAGGCATATATAAGGACACGAAGACGTCGCTCCATCTCGACTCTCCCGCGGCCGGTAGGACAATATGCCTGATCATATACCCAAGCGGAGACCGAATACCCCAGTTGAAGACGCCGTTGTGCTGCTTATTCTCGCTTGTATCGCCGGGAGCATCGTCAGCGTCTTCCTTCGCAGCATTATCAGTGCTATTCGGGAGGAGTACGGGCAGGAAGAGCAGGAAGACTTCACGGAGGACGAGCTTGAAGCGGACGAACCGGAGATCGATGTGTCCAATGCCGAGGAGCCTGAGGGCGAGGAACTCAAGACTATTCCCTTGCACGCATATGCTCCGGTGCGTCGCCTTTTATCTCTTGACGACACTGTCGCTCATATGCCCCTTAGCATCTGTCTCTGGTCGCGTCAACGACCGGCTACGTACGTCTCCCAAACCTCATCCACATTCCCCGTCCGACCTAAACCGACACCTTTGTAGGAGAATGATACGCCTTCCACACCACCTCTTGAACTCGTGCAACGAGTTGCACCAGTCGCCGCCCCCGAGGAACACACGGACGTGACATCCGAAAATCGCAGCCCACAGACCAATACGCCCGGGTTGCTCGTCCGATCCACTCCCTCGCGCAACATCGAAACGGACCCCACCTACACCAATCTCTTCGATATCACCGAAGACCCTTTCGATAATATCCTCGAATACCTCGACGCCGACGAATGCGATTGCGGTTGCGCTGCCAGAATTGTGATCGGTCGCGAACGAGCAGCGTGCCTCGAAACTACCGAGAAGACGGACAACATCCTACGCTACGTGACTAGGGGTCTAAGGAAGGTGAGCGTCGTCCGCGCTTCAAGAAGAGTCCGAGTTGAACTGACTGTGTCGTAGAACTGCGAAGACGCCAACGGCCTCGCGCACCGCCGGGAAAGGATCTATGTGGACCTGTCAATGGAAATCAGAGTTTGCGACGCAGAGATTGAGCGCCTGCAAACAGTATGAAGTGTTTGCTTTCCTCTGGATTATGTGCTGACCATCTTCTCAGGAGCGCGCTGGGAGAGGCGCCAAATAAACCGGCGGCTTTTGATGATCTGTACCATCTGCGCTCCGTAGATGCCGGGATTTACTGTGGACATTGCATGGCCGGGCTTCATGATGGATGACGCAGGGCGTCTCTTACAATCGTACACTGCGCCATTGCTCGCGCAGACTATACCTCGATACCTTACGCAGAATCAGAACAACCCACATGCCTATATATATCTCTTGCAAGACGATCCACTCGAATCACCTTCTGTGGTCAACCATACAGTAGATGGGACAGCGTCCGCTCAGCACTTCACGCATGGCAGCAAGCGCCTGGAAGAAATCGATACCGCCGGATAGCGACGGACCGTGGCATGCCGGCGGTTCGGCTCCGAAAGCGCGTGGCACGTTGATACGGACGGCGTGACTTGTAGAAAGGCGCGTACAGGCTTTTCTTCCTGCCACCATGTCGAGTCGCTTGCACCCAATGCTATATCTGAGACCGCCATAGATCGCTGACAGAGGGACCGCGACAGTCGGGCGGGAGGCATATTGATCGGCTGCCAACGGCTGTCGGAATGCATTCCTGGCGTTCGCGTTCAATTCCAACCCGCCGCCAACCCCGCTCGCTGCTCGTTTATTTGTATCATATTTCCGATACGCTCAATGTGTATCGTATGGTCTCAGATGATGTGGTATAAGGATGGCGACACGGCGGTGAGGAAATGCCACCTAATTTCCTGCCCCACTCATCGAGTACCTGCAGAATTACCCCAGCCCTCATCATGTCTCTCTCGTGGCTTCCCGCCGCGATAGCTCTTCAGAGCGGACTCCCATCCGTCTCCCTCTGCGATTACCTTCTCTTCCTTTGTCCCTTGGCTGCCCAGCAGCGGCGCGCTGACGAGGCACTGGCGCTTCTACGCGAGGCGGCCGCTGAAGCGGTCCGCAAGCATCTTGCCGCCCAGCACTGGACGGAGACGGCCCTCATCTTCGACGGACACGACTACGGACCCACTCCTGTGCCTCTAATTCCGGGTCTACTGGTCGCTTCGCCCATGGTCGCAGCCTCCAAGCCGGCCCTTACGGACTCCTCGGTCTTCAGGCTCATCCTCAACCCGATCTTCAACCTCGTCATCTTCTTCATCACGCTTTGGATCGCTTACCTGAGCCTCTGCTCTGTCGCATACGTCGTCAAGCTGGTCATTAGCTTGATCTCCTGGGTCACATCCTCCGTCTTTTGGATCATCTGCTCTTCAGTCACCTGGGTCGTGTCCGTTGTCGTCAAGATCATCGTCGCTGCCGGTTCCAACGTCTGGTCTTATCTTGTCGAGGCGAAGGGTATCGGCAAGGGTTGGTGCAAGCGTGTCGACTTGGTGCGTTCTTTGACTTATGTCTATTGATCTCTCCACTGACAGCGGGAACAGGCCAAGCTTACCAGCATTGCCGTGTCTTTCTTCGTACGTCCTTTCGCTTCATCTCTTCAGTCGTCTGTTCTAATACTTCCGTAGCGCCGCTTTGCATCTCCCGTTTACCTCCCCGACTCCGCTCAATGCGA